CCTGCAGCTTGTTGAGTCGGGCGACGATGCCCTTGCGGGGGTCGCTCTTCCTTGAGGTGGGCTTCGCGGCACGCGAAACAACCGGGGCAGACATGAGAGTTTGTTCCATGATTGTTCCTTCCGGCGCTAAGCGGAAACAGCAGCGCGGCTGCCGGATTTCTTGGGGGCTTTGGCGGCGCTGGGCTTTTTGGCTGCGCGCTGCGTTTCCTTCTTCGCGGCTTCGTCCTGTTCTTTGCTCTCCGCCTCGACCAAGGCCTCTGCTTCTTCAGCGGTCAGTACGCGGTGGATGTCAAAGTACGTCAACTCGGCAAGCTCGCTGTGCGGGGGCATCAGGTGCGCAGCGAACAGGCCCGAGAACGTGGCAGCGAAGCCTTCGGCCATCTGCGGGTTTTCAATCAATAGCTTGACGAAAGGGAGAGCGTAATTGTTCTGCGCTGCACCGCCGCGATACTTGGCGGCCAGTTCGCTTTTGTCGGAGTGGGTGGCCTTGATCGCCTCGCCAGCTTTCAGGAGTTCCAGAGCAAGCCTGAGGCCTCGCATGAAATCCTGCTCGGTGGCATCAGGACTTTCTGCAGTGTCCTGCTCACGCGCCCATTCCAAGTGTTTTGCCAAAACATCGGTGCCCAGGGGTGTGCCGTGGATGGTGGTGTAGGCGTCGTCCAGTGTGACGTTGGAGTCTGACCCTACGTAGCTCATCACCAGCGAGTTCAGGGCCTTGATGCGGCTGGCGTATGTGCGGATCAGGATACCTTCTGACAGTCCCTCGTCATCTTCGATGGTGTTGGCTAGAACGTGCAGCGCGTCAGCCATTGCCTCAATGTCGCCACCAACCTGATGAAGAACCCGCAGCGCAATTTGGCCGCCGTTTTCCAGCGGAGTGTCGTAGTCAAGCTGTTTAGCGGGCGCGGCCAATGGTTGCAGCGGTTGGTCGGCTACTTCGTCGGTGCCCGGATGTTCGGACGGGTTGTCGTGACTTTTAGTGAGGGTCAGGGAGCACTCAAGTGCGACATTAACGACGGCAAGCTGCGCAACGGTCGCTTCAGGGTGATGAAGGATGCCGTGCAGCGGCGCCATCACATCGAACATATCTTGACCGCTTACATGGCCGTAACGTACAAGGTTGTCGAAGTTGTAGACGGCCTGGCGGGCGAGGCGGAGGCAGATGTATTTGGACTCATCAGAACATGCCAATTCGAGTCCATTCAATAGCTGGCTAATTTGGGCTTTTGCCTCTGTTCCTTTAGAATTCATGTGTTGTTCCTAGCTCGCAAAGTTTGGTAATGACTTGATGCCTCGACGTTCGCAGCGCCGGGGCATCGCCTTTTTCAAACCACTATTTAACCGGTTTGAAATAGCATTGTTAGGCAATCCGTACAAAAAGTAAATAGGTGAGCCTAACAAAATTCAAAAAACTTCGGGAAAGCTTATTTCGCCGTGATTGGCTGGTCCCGCACGTCGGCGAGACTATGAACTGGTTTTAGCGCCTTGTCTGGAACGCAGCCTGCAATTACTGGCAGGTCGTGGAGAGACTATTTCCCAAGGCGTAGCTAGTGCAGTTGACCGGCGGGCGCGGCATCGCACGGTTTGTAGAGGTGGCCATGCTTCTTAAGAAATTTCCTAGGAAGTTGGCTCGATTCGCGTCACTCGCTGCGCTGACGTTCGACTGCTCTTGAGCAGCCCTCTGGGTGGAGGCTAATTTGTCTCTGTCTGCCAGTGCAGCCATGAACCTATCGAGACGCTGATCTTGCAGCTCGAGGAACCTAGCGCGGGTAATGCTGCCGCTCTGAAACTGTTCGGCATATTGACGTGTTGAAGCGTGGTAAGCCTGCAAAAGTCCATCATTGGGGAAGTATGCTTTCGCGGCACCCTCCATTTCAATTGCCGTCTCGAGAACGGTTAATTTCCCCGCGTCGTGCTGGTCGTAAATCCGCTTGATTTCTTGCTCAAAAAGTTTTTGATTGTCCTGCGCGTGGCAGACGCTAGCGAGCAGAAGGAAAGTAATGGCGATTAAATTCTTCATGACAGTCTCCTTGGCAAACAGCTACACGCGGCCCCTGATTTGGTATTCGGTAACGCGCCCAATCACGCGCATTGCAGGGTCGTCAATCTCAACCAGCGGATAGGCTGGATTCAGGGGCTTGAGAAACCACCTTCCCCCGTCGGACACCAGTTTTTTAAAGGTAGCTTTTTGTGTGCTGACATCTTTGGCCACGACGAAGTGGCCGGCGTCGGATGAAAGATCGGGGTTGACCACAATCACGGACCCATCGGGAAAAGAAATTTCCCCTGGAAATGGGCTTGTCATGCTGTCACCGGTGACACGCAGGGCAAAGCTACTGGGGCCAGGTCGAGTGTCGTAAATCTCTATCCACTCGTCGGCTTCGCCCGGGTGAAAGTTATCAGCTACCTCACCCAATAGACCAGCCGTAACCCATGAAATCAATGGAACTTTTCCTCTGTGATCAGTTTTTTCCAGGTTGTCAGAGCCCGACCATTCGACATTGTCTTTTAGGTACTTGGGACCCTTCCCATCGTTAAGCCAGCGGGGATTAACCTTAAAAAATTCAGCGACCTTGAGAAGCATGTCTCCGCGCAATTTTTTGGTCTGCCCGGTAGTCCAGTCCGAGACGGATGCAGCGGCTACACCGCAATAGCGCGCAAGGTCCGCACGCCATCCGCGTGGCAGATCCTCCCCCAGCTCCCGAAGCCGATCTTGAAGCGTACTCATTAGGTAATCCTACTGTTAAAAATATAAGGCGTGCCTATTGACTGGAATGTAAGGTGTGCCTAATAATGGGGCATGGACGCTCTAACACTCATCGAAAAACTCGGCGGCACCTTTGCGGTGGCGATATTGGCGAAGGTCAAACCTCCATCCGTATCGGGCTGGAAGGAGGCCAACAGGATTCCAGCGGAGAAGCTGATTCGGTTGGCACCTATCGCCGAAGCGCGCGGTATAGCAACCCGGCGGGAATTGTTCCCTGATGACTGGGCTGAAATTTGGCCCGAAATGGCGCAAACCGCTCCGAAGGGAGATTCACAGCCTGCTGCGCATGCCGCGGCTTGAGGCCCGGTCGGTCGCGCGCACTGGCCTGACCGGCACTGCCGAATACCGGTGGGATATGCACAACTCCCCGGCCTGCCAGCGCATCGCCAGCACGGAGGTGGTGACCGCAAGAGTTTTCCCTCCCTCTGAATCGGCGTTGAGCGCCATCCGCGTGTGCGTGCTTTCGTGAACGTGGGCCAGGGTGCTGCGGGAAATGAGTGTTTTGTTCATGGTGAAGGTTTCGATTTTTAAAGGTTGGCGGTTTTATGGATGACGACTTTCAATATTCCCGCACAGGGATGGTCAGCCCGATGGGGACTCTGACAGAGCCCGCCAAAACGCTGATTGACTTCAACACGATGCAGCAGTTTCGTGAACTGGTTGCTGGCTGTGACATGGACGTTGCCGGCGCGATCCGTGACTGGATTTACCTGCAGGTCCATGGACAGACGTTTACCGATTTGTGCGTTCATGCTGCAAAGGTTAAGGCTCGCAAACTGTTTGGTGAAGACCCGAATGCGGTCCGAATGAGGCCCGAGCGTCAACGCCAGGCACAGGAGCAGGTTAGCTAGATGTCCAAAGCCATGATGGAGCTCTGCCGCCCGCTGCAGGTCCCGCCTTCTGCTAAAGCCGTCCTGATGGTGCTTGCCTACATGCACCACGACGAAGGCGATCTCTACCCGTCGCTGTCGTACCTTGCGGAAAGCACCTGCCTTTCCCGGGGCTCGGTTGTCGATGCCGTTAAGGCGCTGGAGGTCTGCGGTGTAGTGGCATGCAACCGCGCCAACCGCACACGAACGGTTTACCGCATCCTGCCGCACGCACTGGACACCAACAAAGTTCTGGTATCGCGCCGCACAGCAGCACGTCAGGCTAGTGCAAATGCCCAATTAGTAGGTAGTTCAAATGCCCCACTAGTCGAAGCGCAAAAAGCCGATGTCAAAACGGCGCTCACTAGTTCAGATGCCCGACCAGCGCTAGGGCAATTGCCCGACCAGCAAGAAAAACCAGCTAGTGCAAATGCCCATACCGAGCTAGTGCAAATGCCCAGCGAACTAGTGCAAATGCCCAATTTGCTAGTCGGGCATTTAGACCCTATTAGTAAGAAACAGTATGAACAGGAAGAGGGAATAGATAAGAAGGCAGATTCAGAAATTTTTGTTCTCGATGGATCAGGACCTCAGGAAACCGGAACTCCTGAAAAAAAATGTCGGGCAAAAAAATTCAAGTCCGCGGGCTTCGATCCGCTGGCAGTTGAGCTGCCCGACTGCATCGCGTTCCCGTTGTGGACACGCTGGATTCACGACCTCCTGCACCGCAACAAAAAGCCGACGCCGGAAACCATCCGGCTGCACATCAAGGCTTTGAGCGAATACGCCGCGCAGGGTCTGGACCTTGAAGGGGTGATTGATCACAGCATCGCCAGCCAATACCGCAAGCCGTTCCCGCAGCCCGCCCAAAAGTTTTCGACCCCGTTCAGGGGCAAACCCGCCGCACAGAACCACTTTGACACCAAGGAGTACCACGATGGACCACCCCCAGCTTGATGCCGCCAAGATCGACACCGAAGTCCGCACCTGCGAGACGCACGGGGAGTACGAGGCAAAGCGCCTTTTCAAAACCCGCTTCACAAGTTGCCCGGCATGCGCTCAGCAAGAGAGCGAAGCGCGCCAGGCACGCGAGGAAACTGAAGCACGCAGCCGACAGGCCGCCATGCGTGAAGCGCGCATCAAGGCGCTGTTTGCGGATTCGGGGCTCATTGGTCGGCAGCTCGAATGCACGTTCGACAGCTACCGCGTCAGCACGCCGCAACAGCAGGCGGTGTTTGATGACTGCCGTGCCTACATGGACCTGTTCGTGCGTGGCCAGGACCTGCCGAAAACCACGCTCTGGCTAATCGGCACGCCGGGTACAGGCAAAAGCCATCTGGGTTCGGCCATGGTGAACCACCTCATCGCCAACCATGCCACGCCGGCACGGATTCACACTGTCAAGGAATTGATCCGCATGCTGCGCGCGACATGGGGCCGGAACGCGGTGACCACCGGTCAGACATGGGTGGAACACGGTGATGGCAGCGGATCGTTTGACACGTCCGCCGCACCAACATCCGAGGATGAGCTGATCCGCGACCTTGGCAATTGCACGCTGTTGGTGCTGGATGACGTTGGTGCTGCCCATGGCTCCGAAGCAGAGCTGGTGCAACTGCTGGAAATCGTGGACCTGCGCTATCGCTTGGAGAAACCTACGGTCGTGCTGTCCAACCTCTCGGCGACCGACCTGAAGGCGGCGCTAGGCGGCAGGCTCTATGACCGCCTGCGCGAAGGCGCAACCATGAAGGTGTGTAAGTGGGAAAGCGGTCGAGGTCAGTTCCCGACCAGGGCGGCCGCATGAGCGGGTCAATCATCGGCAACTTGGCCGATGAGATACGCGCTCAGGCTCAGGGCCGGCAAGGTGTACGCATCCCCGATCTGCGCTGGGCGGAGGCAATTATTTTCCGGGTTGAGGCCGGGGAAAACATGCCTATTTATTCCATAAAGCTGGCGAAGCAGGCCCTCGAAGAGGACGCCATTCGCCGTAATCCATTGAGGCAAAACGCATGACTGACGGAAGGGGAACAGCGTTGTATTCATCAGATTTGAGAGATTCCACGCCCGCGCAAAGGGCAGCCGTGTTCGGTGAAGTGTTCCGGAATATCCGCATGATTAGCTATTCGGTCAGCGACACCGGAATTCAGAAGACGGTGATCGTGCTGGACGGCATTGAAACCACACTTGTGGGCGACCCTGAAAAGGCGCTTGCCGTTTACCGCAACGGGCTCCCCGGTGCGAAGCGGGGGCTCTGGGGCTGGCTTAGGAGCTTGCTGCCTTGAACTTAATCGATGTCCAAGTCATAGAGGGCCTGAACCTCGCGGATGATGCGGGCTATGTCCGCGCGGTATTGGTCACGACTGCGAAGGACTGGAACTGTCCAGTTGCCGCCCGTGCCGCCAGGCGCCCACACCACGCCCCCAAGGTCCACGTCCGTGAGTTGCCCGGCCAGTTCAGGGATAGCCTCGATTCGTTCCTGAATCAGACCTTGAAGCTGCTTGGCCGTCCGCGAAGGCTTCGCCATGGATTAGTGGCCGTTGGCCTTTTCCCATGCGTCGATGACCTCGCGTGCGTCGGCCTTCGCTTCCCCGTAGGCGCGTTCCTCTGTGTTGGCACCAGATTCGGCAACTTCACGGGATGGCCCTTTGTCGCTCGTCCAAAGCCAATGCCAACGCTTGCCCAAAGGCGTGACAAGGATGTGAACGACGTGCCCTCGATGCTCGAAAGTGTCGGGAAGTGGCATAAAAACCCCCATGAAGATTCGCCCCCGCGCGAGTGCGCGTCAGCGGCGCATCGTACCGCAAAGGGGCTAGAGAAGAGGGGTGGGGCGATTAGTTCGGAACTGCAGGATCGCGCCCTCGGCCGGTCGCTCTGCCAACTGCCTAAGGGCTTCGGCCCGCATGCCTGCGATGGCATCGGACAGGGAGCGATAGGACTTCATGCCCAGCAAGGAATTGTCCAAAACCGGGAGGGGCTCGAAATGCGGGTCGTTGATGGCGTC